GGACCTCTTGTATTGTATTTATCATCCAATATCAATAACATATATTCTCCCGTGCCTTCTCACGGTCCCTATTTGTATAGAGGATTGGATCTCCTTTGTAGAGAACTATATTTTTGGTGTAGGTTCTCTTCTTTTGGTGACAAGAGGGGTTGCTCTGATGGTAAGCAACCTCCACTTCCAACCAAGAAGTTGTGAGTTCGAGTCACCCCAAGAGCAAGGTGGGGAGTTCTTGGAGGGAAGGATACCGGGGGTTTATTGGAAACAGCCTCTCTACCTCATGGTAGGGGTAAGGTCTGCGTACACACTACCCTCCCCAGACCCCACTAGTGGGATTATACTGGGTTGTTGTTGTTGTTCTCTTCTTTTGGTATACGGCTTTTATACGAGGTTTTCCCCAATTGTTGATAAAATTATTTACCTTATAAAACAAGGGTCTTAGGCAATCTTCTCCTTATGAGCTAGTTTTTCAGGGTTGAGTTAGAGTGTTAGACCCAAGGTCCATTTCCTTTAACATTCTGAAACTACAGAAAAAGATGGAAACAAAAGGAAAGCTTAGAAAATTTTCCATTCCCTTGTTCTCTTTTAGGTAACTGCCAAAGTTTTTGACTTATTCGCAAGTGGTGAAGTCAAACATGAAGATGCTAACTCTTAAATTTCTTCACTTCTATGCTGGATAGAATATCTGAGTATAACAGTTCATGCCGTTAAGATTACCAGCTTGGAGTTTCTTATTCCTTGTCAGCTTATACTTACCTTGGGATGTGTTTAATTTTGTCGTCGTGCCATAAACTTGGAAGTTATGGACTTCTACAATTTTTAATCAAGGCCTAGAATTGAATTGGTTCTTCGACAAAATGGAAATACTTTTTCGCAAAATGGGAATTACATGATTGTTGATGCACATTGGCTTTGTTAGAGACTTCACTAGTTTCTGTTTATGTAAAGTTTATCTGCTCCAACTGATGTCATAGAAAGGCTGCCTTAATGCAACTTATCATTTATACCTGCTTGTCACTGACAAATAAAGCTCAAACTCCATTGCTGTCAACCCTTCAGGAGTGACGTGCTGCAGTAATATGTTAAGTAACCATGTGAACTTGTATGATATATAACAGTTGTTATGTGCTGAAAGTTATAAGAAGGGTATTTCCCTCGCTTTCCATAATTTACATCTCAAGTATTCTCAAGATTTATTTCATTGATTATCCTACTTGGTTCTTTTGTGTAAATACAGACATAGAAAAGGAAGACCAGCTTCTTGATCAGTTGCTGCACTTAAAAACTGTAGCTTTTGAGAAGTTGAAAGCAAGTCGGCAAGATATTATCCTCGTAGCATCACTAATTGATCGGATACCTAATCTTGCAGGATTGGCCCGAACTTGTGAGGTGTGCAATCACGTTGTTGTTTCTGTGCTTTGTGGATTTTGGTGTTGGTATGTGCATTTTTTTAGTTTCAGGTGGTTCACTGTTCTTCTGATTAACTGATAGCAGGTATTTAGAGCATCTGTGCTGGCCATTGCCGACAAAAACGTAGTGAAAGACAAGCAATTCCAATTGATCAGGTTCTGATAGTATTACTCTCTCTTGCTTTGCTTTAATTTTTCACATTGCAGATGTAAAGAAATCTGAAGCAAGAGAGGTTACAGTGAAATGGATGAATGATGAGATTTCTTGCCTTTATATAGAGACTAACTAAATCTTTCTATAACTAAAATTTTCTATCTCATTCGTGTTAATATAATCGAGGATCTGATGACATCCTTGAATAGAATAAAGATGATGTCATTGCTGTTGCACTATTGAAAGAAAAACTAGATTGCCTGATATAATGAACTAACCCACAAATTCATTGAAGTCTCTTAATATTTCATCTCTTTGCTGTTGCACTTGCACAATTGAAAGAAAAACTGGATTGCCTGATATAATGAACTAACCCACAAATTCATTGAAGTCTCTTAATATTTCATCTCTTTGTGCAAAAACTAATGGAGTGCGCCTGTGCAATTTGACTTATAGATTAACATTATGGTCAAGGTGATTTTAGTGAAAGGAGCTGCGCGTTTACAGCAAATGGCTACAAAATGTACATAGAAAATAAATAGATAATTCTTATCAAATCAACTGAAATTGCCTTTTGATAAATAACATGTAGAACCAAGAAAATAAGCATCAATTGAGTAATATTAATCATATAAAAGAACCGCCTTCCTTGATAAGAACTGCGGATAAAAAACTTCAAACTTTTTTTGATTGGTAAAAAAGAAAAAAAACAAAATACAAAAGCAAACTTGAATTGAGTGAGCTGAAAATTCACAACTCGCAAATCCTCAATACAACTTTTGTTTTTTGTATTGGAACTTTAGATCAGCATTACCAATGGGAAAGTTACCTGGACAGGGAAAATTGTTGGGTTATCTAAGTTGAGGATGAAATGCTTGGTTATCTGGATAGTCATGAATTATGGGTTCCTTTGCATATTGACTGGAATTATTTGTTGTACGTGTAGTGTAACTGCAGAGAAATGGGTGCCAATTGTTGAAGTCCCAGTTAGTAGTATGAAAGTTTTCTTGGAGAAAAAGAAGCAAGAAGGATTCTCCATCTTAGGTCTGGAGCAAACAGCAAACAGCATTTCTCTTGACCGATACGTGTTTCCTAAGAGGACGGTGAGTTTCATACAGTCAACATGGTGATCTCCTTTCCCTTGAGTGAAAATTTTTGTGAAATTATCTTCACTAGTTCTGATTATAGATTTTCATTCTTGTGGCAAATATCGTAAGACTATTGAAGTAGTTTGTCTTTTGTTTTCATTTAATTTGAAGGGCTATTTTGTACCAAATATCAATACCTTTTAATGTTTATAGTTTTCTATACCACATGGTTTTTATAAAAAAAGGAAAAAGAGAGTGCTAATGCTAAACTTGAAAACGTGTGTATATCACTAAGTTTGACAATAATACCAATTTTTTGTGAAGGCATAAAACTATTCTTAAAAATTCTCTTTCACGAAAGGAATTAAAAGTTGCACTAGAAAGTAGTAATTATTCTAATCTTTCGGCGTTTGTGTTTTTGTTACTGATTTAATTCATGATTCATAAACTAAACTAATATATTGATGCAACTCATGATTTCTTAAGACGCTATCTTTGTAACGAGTCTGATGATTGGTTGAATATTTGTAGGTCTTAGTCCTTGGCCGAGAAAAAGAGGGTATACCAGTGGACATCATTCACATTCTGGATGCTTGCATAGAAATCCCACAGTTGGGAGTAGTTCGGTCACTCAACGTTCATGTCAGTGGTGCCATTGCACTTTGGGAATACACTAGGCAACAAAGATCCAGTAGCTGCTGAATTACACTATGAACTTTTGTTCAGTGCAAGATAGCTAATTGCTTCTATCAATCCTCATATTTATTGTACAATTACGAGTCACATATTAATATAAAGAACACGTATATATGTACCCCTCAGTATGTGGTGATGTTGTTCTTGAGTGGTTCCAATTTTGTGTTATGAAAGATGACCGCTCTGCAAGTAATTTGAAGTGAGGGAACAATCCATCATCCTATTGTTTCTTATTTTCTCTTTGTATTGTGTCTTTTCTCCTAGCAAGTTGTATAAATTTATGCTACTAGTTTTGATTATTCAGATGCAAGCAATTGCTTCTTCCCTTTTTTCTCCCCATGCAGCCACCATAAGCTGATCTTGGGGGCTTAATTTGGTTTCTTTACCACTTGCTGCAGAAGTATGTCAATTCTATTTAAAAGAGATTACTAGCCACCCAATTCTCAGGTTCAAATTTGCTTACCTGTGGTCTTTGGGTTAAGTTTGTAATTGACTCGAGCAAAGTCTACTTTTGGCAGATGAGACTTATAGTTCAATTAAAGGCACAAGGGCATAGCGATTAGCGAGCACAAAAGAGGAAATGCACTTATCTCCTTGAAGAACGAAGTCTAGGGTAGGAAAGAAAAGTGGAGTGAGAACGTTGTGTGAAAAAAACAAAAAAGACAAACTTAAATTCGCAAGAGGAAAGCCAAAAAGATTTAGACAAAACCGAAAAAGAAAAAAGAAAAAAAAAATGAATAAATGCTCTTGCAGAAGACTTGAAAGTTGAAGCAGTATACTTAAACGTAGTGAGTAAAGATTAGCATGATCTACTACATTACTCAAAGCCAGAAAATAAAGAGAGAAGAAAACTCCCCAAATAATAACCCATCCCACTCATGACAAAGGGGTGCAAAACCAAATGGACTGGGGGAGGTGGTTTGAAAATGAGAAAAACATGCAAGCAAAACAATATTCCTTTAAAGGTGACTATTTTACCTTTCCTTCAATGTCCAATATACCATATCTCTAGAAATGGCAGCCTTTTTCACCTTCATTGCCCTCTCTTTTATCATTACATGGGAGCCCTTTATTGCAAATGCAAAAATCTTTTTAGTTCTAATGGAAGATGACCCTTTTGTTTCTACACAATCAAAGTAAAAACTCTTGCCTCTTTCTTAGCATGATGTAGTCTAACCATTATGCATGCACTATGCTTTATTATTGCTTATTTTGCAGGAATTTTGAAGATTTTGATATCTACAAGGAAAGTATAAGAAAACAACATGACATGCTTCTAGAAAATCTCCTTGAAAGAAGTGTGTATACCAAAGTTTACAGCTACTCTCATTTGATCAATGGATTTTCCGTTCATTTGACATCTCATGAGGTAGGCATTTATATTTTCTTTTGACTTGATTGAACTGATTACTTAAACATGTTACTTTTTTTATTGTCTTTGACGAGCTAAATGCTCGAATAATTGAAAGTGTTACATTGCTGCAGGCCCTTGATATTCTAGAGAATGCAGAAGGTGTTAGAGCCATTTATGAAGATGTGAAGATGAAGAAGTTGACAACACATACACCTCACTTTTTAGGAATTCCTGCTGGTGTCTGGCCTAAATTAGGCGGTCCTACGGCTTCAGGGGCAGGCGTTGTAATTGGTATGATTGATACTGGAATCAATCCATTCCATCCTAGCTTTTTGGCTCAAGAATCAAATGGTGATCGCCGGGGTGTAGTTGTGAAAAGTGGAAAGTTCAAAGGGAAGTGTGTGACTGGGGATAGATTCCCTGAAACAGCCTGCAACAACAAGATAGTTGGAGCACAATATTTTGCAAGAGCTGCAACTGCTGCTGGCGAATTCAATGCCTCTCGTGACTATGCTTCCCCTTTTGATGCCGATGGACACGGAAGGCAAGTGACTTAGTATGAACCATATACTTTATGTTATATCTTGTTGAGTCTCCCACATCGGCGAAGGAATGAGGGATTTGGTCTCCTTATATGGCTTGGGATGGGGGATTTGGTCTCCTTATATGGCTTGGGCAATACTCACCTCAAGAGCTAGCTTTTGGGGTTGAGTTACGCTCAATGTCCATATCTTTATCATGGTATCAGAGTCGGACCCATCCAAATTCTTTGTTTCATCGATGTTGGGGCCCCATATTATATTATTCACGCTCCAGTTGGCAGGCCTGGGCGTGCAGGGAGGTTTTGGGTCTCCCACACGGCTAAGGGATGGGGGATTTGGTCTCTCACCTCATGAGCTAGCTTTTGGGGTTGAGTTAGGCCCAAAGTCCATATCTTTATCATATCTGGCCTTTTTAACCATTATTGTTCTATTTTATTTGATATTCTTTAATGATAATGCATGTTCATAATCTATGAAAGATGTTTCAAAACAGCAGCCATACAGCATCAACTGCAGCAGGAAATCATCATGTTCCTGTCATCGTCAACCATTTCAACTACGGTTATGCAAGTGGTATGGCTCCAGGAGCAGGGTAATATTAGTATGCTGTTTTCATTTTTCTATTAAGAGTTTTACATGTGAAGTTTGATCTTAATAAGGACAATGAACTGTGCTGTAACAGGATTGCTGTGTATAAGGCCATGTACTCTTTTGGAGGTTTCATGTCAGATGTTGTGGCTGCAGTTGATCAGGTTCAGCAATTGTCAATGAATAGTACTTAACTTATTATGCATCTTTCCCCCTTTTTTTTAGACTTTTTACAAGTTAAATAGCTAAAACTCCAAGTTAATTTTGGCAAACATTCTTATTGTTTAGGCAGTGGAAGATGGAGTGGATATATTAAGCCTTTCTGTAGGGCCAGCAAATGTCCCTTCTGGTCCTTCTGCTTTCCTCAATGTTCTTGAAATGCAGCTTTTATTTGCCACAAGAGCTGGTGTGCTGGTTGTTCAAGCTGCTGGAAATGGTGGTCCTTCTTCAACTTCCATTCTTTCCTTTAGTCCCTGGATCACAAGTGTTGCTGCCTCCACTACAGATCGTAGATATAATAATTCAATTGTTCTTGGAAATGGACGGAGCTTCTCTGGCAGTGGTCTTTCACGTTAAGTCCCCTTACCCCTTTCTTGCTGTTAACTTTCTCTGTTTTATCACTGAAAATGTGGTTTCCACATCTTACTTTGCAGCTCCAACGCTTTCAGGAACGTATTTCCAACTTGCTGCTGCATCTGATGTTTGTAAAGGGAATACTACCTCTGGCCTCTTGACAGTTGAGAGCTGTCAAGAGACAGAACCATTCATCCGAACTTTAGTTCATGGGAAGATAGTGATATGCACATACACTTTTGATTTTGAATCAGAGACGGCAAGTATAGCCACCGTTGCTGATACAATACAAAAAGTTGGGGCTGCTGGCTTTGTACTGACAATGGATCCTGATATTGGTTCTGAACAAATTAAGGGAGCCACAATGACCTTGTCGGTACCTGGTCTAATCTTAAACAACATGGAGGCCTCTACGGTATCTATCTCATATTCATAATACTTGATAAGACTGTCAACTTTGTATTAATTCTGGTGCTCTTTGTTGTCTGGTGCAGTCTCTGCGCGAATATTATAACTCCAACACATTGAGAAGTAGAAGTGGAAGGGCTATTAGTTTCAGAGCTACAGCAAGAATTTTAGATGGGAGACAAGCTAGTTATACCAAGCAGGATCCAGTTGTGGCATCGTATTCATCTAGAGGTCCTGATGTGAACAATGCATTCTTAGACACCGCCGATGTCCTTAAACCAAACATCATGGCTCCAGGTTCCTCGATATGGGCTTCTTGGAGCCCTACTAGTGAAGGAGATCGATACATCAAAGGTATAAATATACAAATGCTCATTTGACACACTTGGAAAATGCTACTCAAGTTTTTTTTTTTAAATTTATTATATAGGGGGTAGGGAAAGGGGAATGGGGAGGCCCAACCATCTGAGCTACTAAGATTCACCTGGTACTCAAGAATTATTTGTCATATGGTGCCTTTTTCAAATATATCAATTATTTCTACTTTCAAGAATGGTAATATGAAACCACATCTTTTTACCAGGACAAAATTTTGCACTACTATCTGGAACAAGCATGGCTACACCACACATTGCTGGAATTGCTGCTCTAATTAAACAGAAGCACCCGGGCTGGACACCTGCAGCCATTACATCCGCAATGATGACAACTGCAGATGTAACTGGGCACTCAAATGCCCCTATTTTAGCTCAACAAACCAACCAGCTAACTCCTGCTACTCCGTTTGATTTTGGAGCCGGACTTGTCAATCCTTCTCGAGCCATTGACCCTGGACTTGTTTTCAAGGCAGGGTTTAAACACTATGTACTGTTTTTATGTTCAGTTCCAGGAGTCGATGAAATGTCTGTAAGACGAGCAGTTGGAGTTGGATGCCCGAACAAGAAAAAAGCATGGTGCTCGGATTTAAACACGCCGAGTGTGACAATATCAAATTTGGTAGGCTCAAGAAATGTGATCAGGAGGGTGACTAACGTAGGTGGCGTAGATGAAAAGTACCAGGTGATCGTGAAAGAGCCTCTGGGCGTGAGTGTTTCTGTAACGCCACAAGTTTTTAAGATAATGGCCAATGCTTCAAGACATATTACAATTGTCCTAAATGCAACTCAGACAACCAATGTTTACTCATTTGGAGAAATCGTGTTCGAAGGTAACCAAAACCATAGAGTTCGAGTGCCTTTGGCGGTGTTTGTAAGCAGCACTTTACATTCATGATGCTCTTTTATATGTTTTCAATAAATAAACTATTCCACACTAGCTTACATTGTAATCAGACTAAGATTGTGATTGTGATTGTGATGCCGTTTACCTAAATAAGCCGAAAATCTTTCAGGTAACTTCTTCTAAGCTTGGGAGCTTGAAGTATATCCCACTCCCTCCAATATATAGGAGATAGAAAAAATAAAATGAAATGAAGAGGGGACATGAAAGTAAGATTTGATAGGAATTATCAATCTTCAGTTTGTTAATGGATGGACCTTTGAACACCTTGATTCTTGGACTTAGTTGATGAGTCTGTTCATCGACGACCCTTTCGTAGTGAAGCAAAAAATTTGGAAAATAGGCCAGGCTTTCTTTGAACCTGAAAGAAAGTGAGTGTTTTTATAAAGCAGAGATTTCTGAAAAGCTAGAATGCTGAATAGTATATATAACTTGTGAGTGAGTGACTTACCTGAAAAGTTTTTACCATAGCTTTTATTTTATTGGTGCTAGAAGCCATATTCTTCTTTTTCTTGGATTTCTTATTCCGATGCATCAATGTTCTGAGGAATTTTGGCATTTCAAATTTCCAGTGTCCCATACAAGTTGGAAGACTTACATATCTTGGCTTATTTTTCACTGCAACAATCTGTAAAAATGTGTTATAGATAGTTACAAATACTGCTAAGCTGTGTACAATGATCTTCTTCATTATCCTTCAAACTTCCCATCTTATTTAGGCAATGCATATGTTAATGAGATTAAAACCTGAGAATTCTGTCTTTGAATTGGCTGTGGAACCAAAGGTGTTGATGGTTGTGATCGCGCCGAAGCTCGAAGATTTCTTGAGTAATCAAGAAGCTGAGCTTTCCTATTGTATCCTCCACCATTAGCAACATGTCTAACATGAAGATGTTGATGGTTATGATATTTGTTATTTGATGAACTGCTCCTCTTTCTCCTAGGCCCCTCAACAAGAACAGAAACATATACTGTCCTTTCTCTCAAGTATGTAACCTAAACCATCAAAACACAAAAGGAAACAACTTAACATTAGTTTTGGCAAGAAAATTCAAAAGAAGACTAAGGATGATCACAGCACTAACCATTCTTGTTGGCATTGTCCTTTTTATTCTTTCAATGGGGTTCTTGTTTTTCCTTCTCTTTTTATTGGTGGTGGGTTTTTTTTTTTTTTTTTTTTTT